AATAATGCATAATAATCAACATTTGTCGATCCAGGATATGTTTCATTTTCATATTTTTGCCATATATTATATGCTGCATGTAATAATTCAATATTATATGGTGCATTAACAACTGATCCAATAACTGGTTCAATTAAAAGCATTCCAATTAAATTTTGATGGTATTTTTTATCAAAAGAATTGAATGAAATCTTTGAATTAATTATCCATGTAAAAAAAGGACCAACAAGATTAGAATCGAGAGCATCTTTCAATATTAATGATGTATAAATTGATTCAGCCCATAAAATAACAATTCGTGATGGGCTATTCACTAGATAAGTCCTCATATCACCACGAATACTATTTTTAGCAATATCATAAATAATCATTTGTGCTACTCTTATACCACTTACATTAAATACATCATTAATAGTTTTCGCTGCACCAGATCCAAATGCATCATTTTGATAAATAATTAGGCATGATTTCCAATTGAATCGATTGAATAATTTCAGAAGAGCTGATGCAGCTGTATTATCTGATGGAACTGTACGGTAAAGATTAGGATAAGTTGTTACATCAGCTAAATCAGGATCGGTTGCAGCATACGATATAACAGGTAAGCCAAGCTTTTTACCAAATGAACTAATTACAACAGTTTCTCTTGATAATTCTGGACCGACAATACCAACTATATTTGATTGAGATACTGAAAGACATGTATCACTCAATACTTCGATGACATCGCCATTAGTTAGTCTATCTTTCCACCCAATCAATTTTCCATCGATAGTTATATTATATTGATTAGACAGTAGTACTGCCGATTTAAACATAGCTCGAGCATGAATATAGGGGTGCAACAAATCTTGTAAAGATTTGGGATTTGTGACCAAATCCTTTGGGTTTGGATTTGGGTTTGGAGTTGGAGTAAGGTTTGTACCTATGTTTGGGATTTGGGATTTGGACTTGGATTTGGTTTGGGATTGGGGTATAGGATTTGGATTTGGCATTGGATTTGGGGATAAGGTTTGGATTTGGTTATTGGATTTGTGCATTTTAAGATTTGGACTTGGCTTTGAGATTTGTAAAAACCATAGCTATGGAGGTATCCATAGGTCCTCAAGGGCTATCCTATGGGGGTACCCATACGTCCTCAAGGGGAGACCTATGGGGGTAGCCACAGATCCTAAAGGGCTACCCTATGGGGATACCCATAGGTCCTCAAGGGCTGACTTATGGAGGTACCCACATCTCCTCAAGCGCTATCATATGGAGGTACCCATAGGTCCTCAAGGGCTATCCTATGGAGGGCCTATAGGTCCTCAAGAGGAGACCTATGGGGGTACCCACAGGTCCTCAAGGGCTACCCTATAGGAATACCCACAGGTCCTCAAGGGCTATTATATGGGGTACTCATAGGTCCTCAAGGACTATCCTATGAGGGTACCTATAGGTCCTCAAGGGGAGACCTATGGGGGCACCCACAGGTCCTGAAGGGCTACCCTATGGGGATACCCATAGGTCCTCAAGGGCTATCATATGGGATACTAATAGGTCCTCAAGGACTATCCTATGGGGTTCACACAGGTCCTCAAGGAATACTCTATAGAGGTACCCTAGGTCCTCAAGGGCCATAAAATGGGGGTACGCACGGGTCCTCAAGACCTATCCTATGGAGGTACCCACATCCCTCAAGGGCTATTCTATGGGGGTAACCACACTCTCTCAAGGCCTATATTATCGCGGTATCCCAAGGGGGAAAAAGCAAATTTTGGCATCCATAATCTTTAATATCTTCTAAACTCTTTCAAAATCTTTTGAGTCAGGCTCGACATTGGTGTTTCTTAGCTATTGTAAGGACAAGCGATAGTGTTGATCGGATGATAAAAATGAGCAGCTCGGTTAACGCCCTGATCGGCCCGAAAAACCCAATGTTTTGACCTTAAAATATTAGAAAAAACCGTGCTGAAATCTGATTGGTTGAGAGCCTTTTTGTATTGACCAATCAGATTCGAGGAAGCTGTTTCTCTGCTATTGTAACGACAAAACCTGCCCATGTTCGGGTCAAACGAAAGAGCACCCCGGACAACGCTAAGCTTGGTCGGAGCAATTCGGTTTTGTCTTAACAATGGAGGGAAAACCCTGCTGAGATCTGATTGGTTGGTAGCTTTCTTTCATCGGCCAATCAGATTGCGAGAAGCTGTGTCTCGGCTATTGTATGGGCAAAGCATAGGTTATTCGGGTCATATGAAAGAGTACCCCAGAAAACCCCCTGATCAGCCCGAGCCACAACATTTTTGTCCGTACAATAACTGAGAAAGAGCTTCCTCAAATATGATTGGCGGATTATCAAACAATCAGATTTTAATACGTTTTTTCCTCTATTATGAGGACAAAGCATGGAAATGTTCTAGCCAATCTTGGGATTATCTGGGGCCCTCTTGCATTTGACTCGAACATGAGTAGGTTTTCCCTTACAGTAGCTGTGAGTGTTCGAAATGAGGTCACAACAATCAACGTGTATTGACCCAAGTCGGGTGAAACGCGCTTTCATTGTTGCGACCTCTTGTCGGACACTGATAGATGTGAAACAGCATCTCGCAATCTGATTGGCCGACAGAAAAAAGGTATCAATCAATAAGATTTCCGCATGAATTTTCCCCACTATTGTTAGGACAAAACATGAGGTTGTTCGGGGCAGTTCTGGGGTTCTCCGGGATCTTCTATCACATGACTCGAACATCGGTGCGCTTTATTCGTACAATAGTTGTGAAACATCTTCCTCGAATCTGATTGGTCGATGCTTGGGATATAGAGATTACGCTCATGAGCGCTCATATAAGGGCTACCGAGCTTGAACTGGGCAGCCCTAAAGAACACTAGCGAAAACGAGTTGACCCTTATGACTAACTACTATACCGGAAGTACAAAAGAAACGCTCGGACTCATAAGAGCGTGGACAGATTTCATGAAACTGGTATCTCTTGAAATCCCCCCAAATCTCTCAAATCTCTCAAAATCGTTGAAAATCCCAAAATCTCCTTTTCCCCCCTTGGCGTACCCCATAAGATTGGTCTTGAGGACCTACGGGTACTTATATACGATAGGCGTTCAGGTCCTATGGGTAGCGCCATACGATAGGCCTTAAGGACCTGTGGGTATCCCGATATTATAGTACTTCAGGACCTGTGGGTACCCCATAGGGTAGTCCTTTAGGACCTATGAGTAACTCCATAGGATAGCGCTGGAGGACCTCTGGGTATCCCATAGGATAGCTCTTGAGGACCTGTGAGTACTCCCTTAGGATAAGCCCTGGGATAAAACATGAACTCCAAATGTTATCTTAAGCACTCAAATCCCAAACCCAAATCTACAACCAAATCCAAATCCCAAATCCAAATCCATACCAAATCCAAATCTATACCAATCCAAATCTGTACCAAATCCGAATCGTTTCTTATTAATTTTGAAGACTTTTGATTATTTTCATTCTTTTGGTACTTTGTTTTAGAGCGCTTCATCGGATTTGGGTAATTTGAGGCCAAACCCAAACCCAAATCCAAATCCAAATCCAAGTCCAAATGAAACCCAAATCTTTTTACACCAAATCCCAAAGGTTTGGATTTGTTGCACCCCTAAGGTCGAAAGAGCTTTGGAGGGAATCCAAATAGTGGATTGGATACAGCTCGTTGAGTTCTATCTTGGTTTCTCTAGTAGGGCTTTTGGTCTCCTCGGTGAGCGAATCCCTACAGGAAATACGCGAATCCAGATCCAAGATATCCTACGTTTGTGCCTCAAGAAAATACATGTTACATGTATGAATGAATACGATTTTTACAAACAAGGGGTAATTCGATGAGCTCATGATAATGAGACTATTAGTAACACTGTTCAAACTGCTTCTGTTTCCTCATTAGTCTAACCTGGACGAAACGGGATGTGCGTAAAGTGACTACCTAAATGGTGGATATCGTCCTAAAAATAGTACTATTAGAAAGAGCTCATCAGTTATTCTTTGTGTCTAAGTATCGTATTGATTCATTCATGTAAAATGTATTTTCTTCAGACACAAAGAAACGCTACTTATGACTATAAAAATCTAATCGGGGCGGCCTTCGATGTTTATCAATTAAAATAGATTGTTATCTCCAAAATCTTTTTATAGATTTTGACAGAAAAAACATTATACATCGAATGACTCTATTTTCGATGCGTCTTATACGAATGCTAATGATCTTTTAGGCCAAAAACTGATTTTTCGGTCTTTCAAAAAAGCGCGAGACATCCCTTATTATTCCACTAATAATGAAAAATGTGATATTCGTGATCAGCGCATTTTCTTTTATGGATTTATAAAGACCACAAATGGAATGAAGACAAAAACGATTCGCAGAATAATCGGGGGTAGGGCGTCAATTTTTGCGTCCCCATTCCTTGGGAACGGAACGCTTGGGAACGGGAAAGTTGACACTCCTAGGCGTGGGTGTTCGTGTATTAGTGTGTG